CAAAACCTTTTTACATTTCCCAGTAACTTTTTTAATGTGCTCACACCATGTTAGTTTAGTGTCCAAAACCATTCCAAAAAACCTAAAGGATTCCACCTTCTCCAAAACATGACCGTGCAGTTTAAGATTTATCTCTACTCCCACTCTTTTCTTAGTGAAGCAGACATCTTGAGATTTTTCTTTTGAAAATCTAAAGCCCTATCTAATTAACCATTGTTCCACCTGACTAACTGATTCCTGGATCTTACTTACTATATATTTTAAGTTCCTATCCCTTTTCCACATTGCCCCATCATCTGCAAACAACGATCTACCAATTCCAATATCTACTTCCCAGAATATATCAATATCATTTATCATAATATTAAAAAGCAAAGAACTGATGACACTACCTTGTGGAGTTCCATTTTCGATAACATAATTATTTGACAATTCTTTTCCAATTTTCACTCGAATGGAACGTCCACAAGAAATCCTTTATCCAGTTAATGGCCCTACCTCTGATTCCCAACAGATGTAACTTAATCATCAACCCTTCTCTCCCCATCAAGTCATATGCCTTCTCTACATCCAGAAAAACTGCCACGACCGATTCCCTATTTATCTGAGATTTTCTTATCTCATCTACTAGGCATAATACTGGGTCCATTGTTCCCCTCCCCTTCCTGAATCCACTTTGATAATTAGTTATTATTTCCCTCCTTTTAACACATAACTCAATCTGTCTGTCACCATACGCTCCATAATTTTACCTATATGTAATGTTAATGCAATTGGTCTATAATTCTCAGGTTTTGTTGGATCTTTTCCTGGTTTCCTAATGGGAACTACTACTGCTTCTTTCCAACTCTTAGGAAGCTGTCCTTCCTCCCACACTCTATTATATATTCTAAGCAGCCTTTCTAAATGCTTTCTCACCCATAACTTTCAACATAATATACATATCATCTTCTCCTGGAGATGTCATCTTTGTTCTATCGATCGCTCTCTTCATTTCTTCCATAGAAAAAGGGGCACTTAATGCATAATCTACTTCTTCCCTTTTCTCAAATAATCCAGGATATTTCCTTATTGTATTTTCCCTTCCTTCCTTCCATTCCTCTTCTAAATTATTTGAGCTATGTATTGCTTCTAAAGCTTTGGCAATCATCTCTGCTTTCTCATTGTCTTTTATGCCTTCTTCTCTCCCTTTACTGGATATTCCCTCTCTTTCCTTTCCTAACGGTGTTACTTCTTCCCTTCTTCTTCTTATTTGAATTTTATGGCGGTTGGCATCCAGCGTTTTGGTGCATTACCGCCACCTTCAGCTCTGGAGTGTGGACCAGAGGTTAGGTTTACAGACTAATCATTTTTTCCCCCACTTCCCTCTTTCCCACCCCTTCTCATACACACATATACATACTTACACACACACACACACACACACACCTCTCCCCTACTCCTATGCTATAATAATAATCATACTCATACTCATAATAATAATAATAATAATAATAATAATAATAATAATAATAATAACCACCACAGTACTCTTACTCCTACTTTTACTTCCACTACTTCTAATACGTGGTTACATTTAACTTTACCTTCTATTATAATTTAAATTATTTATTTATTTCATATACTAGCATAAACACCAGTTTCTCTCAGGAACTTGTATTCTGTTCTTAACCCT